AGTAATTTTTTTGTAGTGGCAATTGAAAGAACTAATTGATTTGATAGTAAAAACTACTGATCAGATCATGTTTTTATTGAAAAATAGACGATTGGATCAATTTTATATTTAAACTAAAAATGAGCAACAAATTGCGAAAAGATGGATTTGAAAGCCGTGCAACATCGAAAGATAATCAAAAAGCATACAACAACAAGCTCTGCTAATTGAATTATTTATGTAAAAATCAAATTGTTCAAATGGTAGACAAAATCGAATTTTACAAGATGAACAATTCTAATTACAATGAACTCGTGTCGGGAAGTGTGTGACTCCTACACGTGTCTTGCATCCTTGTTTAAAGAAAATGACTATCAATCACCCAAAGGATAGGTATTATATACGACAAAAAGAAGAGAAGCAATGGTTTGAATGTGATGGAGAACTGTCCACGTTGAAAAATCTAGAAATTCCCTAGATGTTGATTTGTGATTATGTATCAATTTTAAGCAGTATATAACAATCCCAATCAAATAATCAAGACAAATCGACACGACGATTTTACATGAAAAAACCACAATTGGACACCTCCAATTGTGATAAAAAAAACCACGAGCAACAGTTACAAAACAATCTACTAAGAAGATATAAATGAATTACCAAGGTATACTCTCAATTACCTAGCGAATCCACGCCCGAATTGAACCAACCTCTATGTGTCTCTTCCAACCCCGTCTTCACCTCGGAATTGTCTTGACGATGAGCCACTCCAAAATCCACCAAAGTTTCAAGCTCGAATTCTTCAGAATCCATTGAAGAACAACTCTCTCTTTTGTGTAGAATAAAAAAACAAACCTTTGATGTCTGCTTCTTAAACCATGAGTTGAATACTCAATCAAAACATCAAAGAAAACTAGCAAAATATCCCCAGATATAAACCCTAGAACCCAAGAAGAAGATCTGGAGAAGTTGGTCAAGTTTTGGGAGAAAACTAATTACTTATAGAAATCCAAAATAATCCTAGTTTTGGAAGAAAACCAATTCTTTATAGAAATCCGGCTTTTGAAGCTTGCTCGAGCGAAGCTTTTTTCGCTCGAGCGAGAACCTTAACTCGCGTGATTTCCACTAGTGCCTTCGCTCGAGCCACGAACCCTTCGCTCGAGCGACTAATGAGCTCTTTTAGGTTTTTGTATAGATGCAATCCTTCGCTCAAGCGAGCTTCTTAGACCATGAGTTGAATACTCAATCAAAATATCAAAGAAAACTAGCAAAATATCCCCAGATATAAACCCTAGAACCCAATAAAAAGATTTGGAGAAGTTGGTCAAGTTTTGGGAGAAAACCAACTACTTATAGAAATCCAAAATAATCCTAATTTTGAAAGAAAACCAATTCCTTATGGAAATCCGGATTTTGAAGCTCGCTCGAGCGAAACTTCTTTCGCTCGAACGAGAACCTTAACTCGCGTGATTTCTACTAGTGCCTTCGCTCAAGCCACGAACCCTTCGCTCGAGTGACCAATGAGCTCTTTCAGGTTTTTGTATAGACGCAATTCTTCACTCGAGCGAGCACTTCTTCTCTCGAGCGAGCAAGGGCGGACAGCCAACTTTGAATGCAATTTTGCATTTTGCTTCGGGCGCGAGCTGACTAGGCAGCTCGACCCCGTCATAATCAGCGAAGTGGCAATCTTGAAAGCATTAGTATCACAAACTTCTCTGCAAGGCTCGATTCGGGTTGGATTCGCATCTAAAACTCATATCCTCACTGAAATACAAGAGCGAATAAAATTACAACTGAAAGGAGTTTTGTCAAACGGGATTGCCAAGAATAAAAACCTAACACAAGTAGTTTGGTCCCCGCCGTGTAACCAAACTCAAAAGTGCAAGAAATTTTGGTAGCAAAAAAAATATTTAGACTGTGTTTAGATCATGAATTTTTGTATGAATTTAAAAGGAGACAGAAAAAATATGGGTAAAATATAATTATATTTTATTCATATCTCACTCATTATTCTCTTTCTTTTCGCAAATTATTATCAAAATTCATAATTCAAACATAATTTTAAGAAGATAGATAGTTAGTGTCCATCGAAGAGGAAGTCTCAAAGGGACACACAGATCTTGAAGACCTAGGTGCTAGCATTACAAGAAGAAGCTTCCATTATAGTAGTAGTTTCAGAGAAATTTTGGACTCAAATTGTTGGTACTTTGTGTTTGCACACCCATATACATTTGGTAACTTCACAATTTTGAGTCCCAACACTACCAAACTTTGCCAGCAATATATATTGTTCCCATCATTGTCAATTGGCATCAAAGACCTCCACCTCACAACAAGTAACATGATTTTTTGGAACCTATCGTCATTATTTGACCGAGTATGGATTGACTACTGTTCATGCATAATGATACGGTGCAATGAATGGAGAGTTTTTACTTTGAAACAGAATATTTATAAAAATTATTTATATTTGCAATAATACCAGTACCATATAATTCTTATGATATTTTTTATATAAATTTTATGTATGAATAGTATATAAAACATATGATTGCATGGTTCAACCTCAACCTATGCATTGCATATGTACACTCTAGTTTATATCATAGGAGCTAGTTGGTAGTTGGTTTGATTGTGCTTTTTATTTAAATAAAATAAAACAAAATAAAATAAAATAAAATTTAAATACAATTTTTTTGGTTGAAAATTTGGTAGCACTTGATTTTTTCTTTTCTTTTTTTCGTGTGTTTTATATATATATATATATATATATATTTTTTGTATATATTATTAGTCTTGTTTGGGAAGTGAATTTCTAGCTTTTTTTAGGTTAAAATTTACAAAAAGATAAAATAAGTTAAAATAGTTAATAAAATAAAATGTCACATTAAATCTATAATCATTTTATTTTTTCTCTTACAAACATTACATTTAACTACAAAAAAATTAAACCATCTTCTCATACACAAAAATTTTAACATACTAAAATAGTTAAAAACTAAAATAACCTAATAAAATAGTCAATTTTCCAAACGAAGCCATTGTGTGTGTGACTGCATACAATAATAGATACAAACTATCTTAATAACTTTAATAACTCCCAAAAAAAAAATTTAGTTCAAAAATAAAATGTATAGACCACATTTGTTCTGAATATGATAAAAGATGATTTGTCCGATACCTTTGCCATGCATTTGAAAGTTAGGCAGTGAACAAAAAGTAAATACAACAAATATTAGTAAATCAAACATTAGAATGATTATTCTGATGAATAGTCGTTAAATTTCATCTTTATCTCAATAAATCAAATGTACGGTTAGGATGACATGAATCTTATAGTCTTTTTCTTTTCAAATTAAAAACATGTCACATTACTCTAGTTCATCTTCACTATGTCAATACTAAGAAAATCCTAGATTGATCACTTATCACGTCTATGATCTAAGAAAGCAGTATCTAATAAAGAAAGATTGTTAAGTAGATTGTGGACCACCATAGAATTCTTAAAGAAAGATTTTATGATTTATACCTAATTTTTCATTTGTAACTGCTTCATTTTCTTCTTTCCATGTTTGGCAGATGAGATTTGTTAGATTTAAATTTTTACAATATCTTGGATATAAAGGTGATTAATCACAATCTCACTATGCTTCAATTGGCCATGGCTAGATAATCAATTTTGTTGGATGTTTGTACATTTTAATATTTATTCATTTATCTAACATCTCTCACATATGATGCATGAATGGGGAGTCAGTGGGAGTACTACACATTATTGAATAGTTACTGTTTCGAAAGATGAGGAGTCCTACATGGATTAACAGAGAAGAGAACTTGAGATTTATATCAGTAATGATTCATTCTCTTAAAATTAGAATTTTAATTGAGTTTTAGTGATGTAAAAAATTTAAAAAAATTCAAAACATCATATCAGATAGAGCCTACACACATATTAAAGGTATTAAAATTTCTTTCCTAAAGCTCCCAAACATTTTCCGGTTTATATTTATCCATATGATTGGGTATAACTCGAAGAAGATTGATCAAATCCGTGGGCACGGGAAAGAAACAAATGAAGCAAACAAGTCAAATTTGCTTATGCTAAAAAGTTTGTAGAAAAAGCAAAAAAACATTCCAAATAAATTTACTTTTGACATTAATTTTTTTTGAACACTTAGGTTTGGCTTGGGAATAAAGTATTTTAGGCTTTGTTTGGAAAGAAGGGTTGGAGTTATTTCAGTCACAAAAAGATAAAATAGATTTTTTAGTTCAATAAGACAAAACATTACATTCAATCCATAATCATTACATTCTTTCTCTCACAAAAAATTAAAAAAGCCAAAAAATCAAAAAGTTCTTCCCAAACGAGACTTTTTAGCCTCAGGCTAAAATAGTCAAAAAGTCAACCCACTTCTCAAACGAACCCTATTAACTTTTTAATTTTTTACGAAAAAGATATGAAGAAAAATAGAGATAGTATAGTGACTTTTGGCTTTTTAACTAAACCATATAATTGTCAAACTGGATCTTAATTTATCCTCGAGGGGTGTTTGGCACAAGATTTTTTTAACTTTTTGGACTAAAATTCATAAAAAGATAAAATAGGCTAAAATAGTGAATAAGACAAAAAGTCAAATCAAATTCATAATTATTTTACTTTTCTTTCACAAGTATCACATCTAATTATAAAAAAATCTAATTTTTTTGCGAAACGTAAATATTTTAATATGTTAAAATAGTCAAAAACTAAAATAACCTACTAAAATAATAAACTTCCTGAGTGAGGCCTTAGTCAATAAATTAAATTTTTAGTCAACTCCGAATAAAGCAAAATATCTCAAAAGTGAGTCTTATATATAGATGAAGCCTTTTCTACTCTACTATTATTAACGACAACCGAACTTTGTGTGTGTGAATTTGTGGGTTTTGCTTGTTCTGCTATGTTATAAGTCATTTTGTCGGTTGTTGACTAATGAAAGATGTGATTCACTCCAATTCATCGCAAGATCATGTTGGATTCTATTTAAGACAAATAACAAAGGTTAAGAGGTGGAATGATATACATTGACGATGGTCTAAAACAACATTACACTTAGAATGCTTCTTTGAGATTACAGGGTACATACATTTCACAATAATTAACAATATGATTCTGAGCCCTTTGTTTTTTTACTGTGTTTTCTCATCATGGGACTTGAAGTCTACAAAAAGATTTTTGAAACCATTCCCAGTCCCACAACTTTTGATTGATATCCCTCCCAAAAAGGCAGCTGCAAAGGCATGTTAAAACTCAAACTTCAAAAATTGACAATTCCATCTAAAAGTACAATTGTCATTCAAATTCAAATGACAACAACTGAACCAACCAGATGTCATTCTGAGCCAATCCTGAAGAAAGCTGGCAGTGCAGTAGTTTATAATAATTTGGATGAAATGGACAAGAGAGGGTATAGCCTTTTCATGCTACTACCAAAATGGAATGAAGGTAGAATGCTTCTCGTCCTTGTCCTCCTCCTACACCAAATACAAGACCATCCCTAAGATTAGGACAATTTAGCAATTTAGTTTATTTTTCTATCAATTCATTTTTTATACTTCGGGAAAATGTTTAATTTTATGCATGACTGTCATTAACAAAATAAAAAAAAAATAAAATAGTTATAATGATTTAAATGTCAATTGAAATTAATGTGAAAGGTAAGACTCGATTAAGAGAATTAAAAACAAAGAGCTCCTCCTGTAGTATTCAAAAAAAATTATAATTTCTTTATTACACAGTTTAGAAATAAAAAACAAAAAACAATGATATAGATATACCACCACATGAGAATCTGAACATGGCAATTAAATTAATGTATTTTAAATATGTGATAAAATATTTATGCAATAATTTGAACTTTTGACATCACAACTAAAAAGGATTACAAACTAGAATATTCACATTATAAGGATTTTCCATCCAAACTTTGAAAAGATTCAAAAAGAGTAGTGAAATTGGGTGCTTCAACTCTCCCTTTTGGAGATCATGTGGAAACATATATAATTTTAAAAAATTTATATTATTTTATCATTATATAGCATTATCGCTAAAAATATTTTCATAATATAGCTTGAAAATATATAGAGGTGGAAAAAAACAAAATGCTTTTTTTGAAATTTTTTTTAGCAGGCCCTCCAAAAGACAAAATTACTCAGCAGCACCAGCTAGCACACAAAGCAAATGCAAATGCAAATGCCAAAAAAAAAAAAAAAAGAACCAATTTTTTTTTAAAAAAAAAATAAAAAAAATGGAGAGAGAAAGAGAACCAAATATAAGAAACTAGAGAGAGAGAGAGAGAGCTGGAAATAGCTGGAAAACCTACTCCTCCAATTTGCGCTTCACAATCTTCATGCTTGGTTCCAATACTTGTTTCCCCCAAATTTCTGACGACTTCCCGGAATCTGACCCACCGTCCTCCATTGCCGCCCTAAACGCTTCCGTGGCATCCAATCTCTTTAGGTCCCACCCAGCACTCTTCAACCGTTGGATCTTCCCCACTTGCCTCTTCGCCAGTTGACACGTGTTGTCCTTGATTGCCCTCACGGCCTCCTCATATACAACCCTCCTCAGTGGATCATCCTTCGGAGCCCCGCCTCCACCAAACCTCCTAAAATAAGGCTCGAACTCGGGCACACCTATTGCCTTCCTCAACCCAGTCCGAGTCCCCCGACTCGCCTCCTCATCGTCAAACTCAAAATAGTCGGCTAACTCGTCGAACATGCCCGAGTCAAGCATCTCGTCAACTCGTTTTCTCAGGTACTGATTCAAAACGGGCAAAGCCACGTCGACCCAGATGAAACAACAATCGTACCGGAGCTCCGAACATACCGGGTCAGGGTGTGATTCGCGGAAGACATCGGATCCCGGGTCGAACCGATTTGCAACGAGTGAGTAGATGAAGGAGTTGGAGCCGCCGACGACGAGTGGAAGTTTCCGGCGAAAGGAGATGGCGGAGATGGTGGCGGCGGCGGCGGAGCGGAAGTCGGAGGGAGACAAGTCGGGGCGCTGGGATGGGTCGAGATGGCCGAGGAGGTGGTGGGGGACGGATAGGCGGTCGTGCATTGGAATCTTGTTGGTGGTGATGTCGAGTCCACGGTAGACTTGCATTTTGTCGGAGTTGATGATTTCGGAGGGGAAGAATCGGGTTGCGAGGTCGATTGAGAGCCGAGATTTGCCGGACCCGGTGGGACCCATGATCACGACGATCTTCTGCGGCGGTTGATCGAGGTGGACGTGGAGGTGCTGGAGGTGGTGGTGGTCCTTGCGGCGGCTGACGGTGGTGGAATATTTCTTTTGGGCCCAGTTTGGGGGTGGGAATGAAGGGACGATGGATTTGAACAGTAATTTGGTGGGAAAGTGATGTTGATGAGGAGTGATAGAATAGTGCGGGTGGGTATTGAGCTGAGCTGTATAGATATACATACTGAAGAATATACGGGGAGAGAGAGAGAGAGAGAGAGAGAGAGTACCTGGGTAGTGTAGTGGGGGCTACTAGTAGTAGTAGTACTGTTGTATTGTAATTAGTAATTGTGGGTGTTCTGTTACGAGGAAAGAAATGACATATCTGAGAATGGAGACATTTCTCAGTCACTCACTCACTCTCTCTCTGTCTCACACTCACTGGATGATGATCGGATTTGTGTGTGTTTGTTGTTGTGTTGTTGGCTGATTTCGTCACACCATTGTTTCGTCCTCGAGCTCTCTCTCTCTCTCTATACCTCTTGTGTGCATTTTATTGGTTGGTCCGAGACTGCATATATATACAGAGAGATACACCACCATTCATTCTATTATGTTGTGTTTGGTTGAGGGATTTGAGGAGGGATTTGGAAAGAGAAATGGAAAAGGTAAGTGAAATGTGAAAAAAATATGCCTACATTTCGCATAATTTCACACACAGTTTCACTTTTCCTTTTCAAATTCCTCTCCAAATTCTCCAACCAAACACAGCGTTAATGTGTGGACGTCTTTTTCACTCTTTTTCTCGTTAAACGTGTGGGTTGGGTTGGGTTGGTGATGATGAAGATTGAATGGAATGGAAGGAGACGGCTCACTCACTCTCTCTCTCTCTCACACTCACTGGATGATGATCGGATTTGTGTGTGTTTGTTGTTGTGTTGTTGGCTGATTTCGTCACACCATTGTTTCGTCCTTGAGCTCTCTCTCTCTCTCTCTCTCTCTATACCTCTTGTGATACACCACCATTCATTCTATTAATGTGTGGACGTCTTTTTCACTCTTTTTCTCGTTAAACGTGTGGGTTGGGTTGGTGATGATGAAGATTGAATGGAATGGAAGGAGACCGGAATATAAGCTGTCACTGGAGGGAGGAGAAGGAGAATGAGGAGGTCAAATTTATAAGGTTCAGGAGCAGCATCCATCGGGTCGGGGTCGGGGTCGGGCCTAATAGACTGGATCCGGGAATGTGTACTATTATTATACTAATAGGTTTCGTCTTGAGTTGTTTGTTAAATTTATTTAATGACCAACTTTGGTGATACAATATTTATGTATAAAATTAAAAACTATTGATAATTATATATTTCAATTAAATTTGTATTATAAAAAATAAATGATTATTATTAAAATTATATTTATCGTTTATTTTTTAAAATTAAATATGATTTAAATATACGATTACCGAATCATTTTAGTTTTTTGAGTAAATATTATATTCAATGAACTTTAAAAGTGAACGGTTTACACAAACGAAATTGGTTCCAAAATGGGTCTAACAAACACGAAAGTTGTTGAGAGAAGCCAAATCTATTATCGGATTGGATAATCCAGTCTGGCCCATTGGGTCAGTTCTTGGGTCACATTTCGATAATTCGACCCTTGTCATATTTTAAAATTCATTGAGTATATTATCTCTACAAAAAATCAAGTTGATCAGATAACGAAAGTCATATATTCATATCAATTTTGTATAAACCGTTTATTTTCTCGTCATCCTTTTTTTGCATACAAAACTGATCCGAACACGTGGTTACCATCATCCGATTGACTTGATTTTATGCATGCATGATGTGTTTGATGGATCTTAAAATATAAACGATTTAAATCATCGAAACAAAACTCAAAAGTTAACCCAATATACTAGACAGTACCTCTTCAATCTGATTTGGGACCGGAGAGAAGCAAGTCCTTATAATAAGAATTACATGGTTTGGTTTTGTGTTTTTAACATTTTTGTTTTCTATATATTTTTATTTTTAAGGAACTTTTTCTATATATTAATAATTTTTTTAAATACATCTAATTTAAACTTAAAAAGTATTATATTTGAAAAAATTTTAAAAATCAATAAATACAAAAAAAAAATTACAAAATTATAGTGAATTTATAAATACATATTTTTGTATTTAGTGAATTTTTTTTTTACTTTTAAAGCTTATCTAAGTGGATTTAATTTTTTTTCAATGATTAAAATATTATAAAAATTGAATAGAAAATACGAAGGGGGAATCATGTGACATAATAATGACTCATTATTAGGTGTATTACACTTTGCCTCTTAACTCTTAAAAAATTTCCACGTTAGCCCTCAGCTTCTTTTGTTTTCCTCAATTTAGTCTCCACTGTTTTAATTTTTTAATTTTTTTTTTTTCAATTAGTTCCAATTGCTAACATTCATCCAAAATTGGACGAATGATAGTCATATGTTGCTCTCAATTTCGAACACCAACTCCACATTCTCATTTCCTTTCTTAAAACTATTGAAGTGGCTGTTGAATTTTAGAGAGAGAGAGATTGTAAAATAATAGTGTTCAATGTTATCGACTTGAAAAGGTTATGGTGATTTTGAGGTGTTAGTATTGGTAATGAGGTGGTGGAGGAAGCAATTGATGATGTTGTCATTGAATTGTTTTTTTTTTTAAGATTCATATCATTGAATTGTTGATGATGGTAGTGAGGAATATTGTTGGGATAAGGTTGTTGATCCGGTAATTTAAGTGTATAATGTGCCAAAATAGGCTTATTTTTTGCCTAATTTGCGAAATTGCCAAGTCATATGGAAATGTAGACTTCTTAAGAGACTTCACCTATTTGAATAAGACCTTAGCAGATCTTAGAAATCAAAAATGCCGAAATAAAGTACGTTTCTAACTCAAAATTATAGAGACATGTACTTTAAAATCTTGTAATGGAAAGTACTTTTAACAATAATCAAGATCACTTTAAACCATAATCAAGTACATTTTGGATCATAACAAAAGTTATCATTTTGAAACATAATTGATATCACTTTTGTATTATATCAAACACTACTTAGCCTCGTATATAATCAAGGTAAGTTCAAGTTATTTGACAATATTTTGATTTGACCATCATTTTGAGTCATAAGATCATATTCAACTATGACTTAGTTGTTTTTGTTTAGATTTGAATAAAAATTTCATTTGATATGAAGTTCTCAAATGACAAATTTTAATTTCTATTCAAATAAATATAGTGGTTTGACATTTGAGTTAAGATTTGAGTATTTCTTTATTTGGATAAAATCAATTCTATGTAAACTTTAATTTGGTATGGGCTTGGCCCGGAGAGTGATTTGGAGTGTTTTTTTTTTTTTTTTTTTTAAACTCAAATTTATATTCAAGTTAATGTTTGGGTAACGACTAAAAATGTCCTAACTAATACTGTAATTAATAACTACTAGCAACTTCAACTGGCTTTTTATATTGTATTTGTTTTATTTTAGTCAATCAAATTATAAATTCGGTACTTCAATAGGCTAAACAACACTTAAGGCACTATGCCTCATCTAGAAAGAGCTAGTTACAATTGAGAGCAAATTGAGGCTACACAAATGAATTCTCTATCCTTCGACAAGGAAAATTTCTCGAATTATCATTGTACAAATGTCACGTGAGCAATCATATCAATGCCTATTTATGACATAAGAAAAAGATGTATTTTTTATTTCGTGTACGTATCATTTTTTTTTGTTAATTGGTTGACTACAAATAGTCCTTTTTAAATATATACTAGCTAAAATAATTAAACAAAATAAATTTTTTTAAAAATGTAATTTTTGTTTACTTTTATTAGGCAAAATGCCTCACAACATTAGAATTGCTCCAAGATTGACTTTAGGATAGAGCAAATGGCATAAAACTTTTAGACCTTGTTTACCATTGAAATGGCCTTTATTTAAGTTGTGGGTTAGGCATGGTTAATACTTTAACTTAAATTGTGCCGTGTGCAACATAATGGTTGGTTCCTTATACTTTCAGGTGTAATCGGTTCTGTTCAATTGGGTTTAAAGAAAAAATTAGTACTCAATTGAATTATTTGGTTTTGTCAGTTGCATAATCGAAACTGATCATGATTCAATTTTGTTAAATTTAGAAATTCACATGAAATTTCTAGAATTTTGTAGAAACTTGTATAGGAAAAAATAAGAAAAATGGTAGATGATGCTCGATAAATGTCTCTCTAAGTTTTATTACAAAATATATAACATCAGGCCACTTATTTTGTAATTTTTTTTTTTTCTCAATGAAAACCATAAATCATACATCAATTAAAGGGAAAGGATATAATGCATTGATCTCTCTTGAGGTTTAAAAAAATATAAAAAGACTCATGATTTTGACATAATTAATGTGTATTATTTGGACGTTATTTTTTCACATAATATTTGGTTCTCTTTTCATCATTAATTTATTAGTCACATGGATAAAAAATAATGTTATTATGTCTTTTACACTAAAATTTATATATTATTTTTGTGTTTTCACATCATTTGCATTAATTTTCAAAAAGAGAGATCGCTATAATTATGACAAAATTATAAAGTTAATTATATTTTCTTTCAAACTCAAGGGAGGTTGGTGTAATTTACCAATAGGGAAAAAATAGTATTGAACAACAAAGTATAATTATCCCATCCTAATTAAGTTGACACAAGAAACAACGTTTAATATAAAAATATGGGTATGGCTTCTGTCCAGTCCGGGATCGGACTGGACCGTGCTGTTGGACTCGTGAGGGCCCACCACGAGTCCCGTTTTGATAATCTGAACCGTTCAATGTGTAGAACTCGTCGAGTACTATATGTGTGAAAAAAATCACGATGATCGGATATCGATAGCTATATGATCAAACCAGTTTTGTATTAAAAAAATTGGACAGTGAACAAATTAACGGTTGACAAAAAACTATTTTGATCACATAGCTATCGATATCCGATCAACGTGATTTTTTACAGGCATATAGTACTCGACGATTTCTACTCATTGAACGGTTCAGATTATCAAAACGGGATTCGTGGTGGGCCCCAAAGGGCCCAATAGCACGGTCCAGTCCGATCTCGGACTGGACAGAAGCTATACCCTAAAAATATTTAGGGTAAATTACACTAACCTCCCCTGAGATTTATCTTAATTACAGGGACCTTCCTTACAGTTTCAAAAATAACACTGACCTCCCATACTTTTGAAAATAATATACAGATTCCCTCTTGTGTTACCCATCCGTTCAAAATTAAGTAAATTTTGCTGATGTCATCTATAATTATTTTGCAAATTCCAATGCTACTCTTTGGCCGTTGTAGGGTTTATGTTGACCATCAACAAAAAACAAACAGATTCAACATATTAAAGAACAAACCGATCAAAAACAAAGATTCAAAAACTAAGATCTCATATAAATATCAAACACAAACACAAACACAACAAATATATATATATATATATATATATAAAGAGAGGGAGATCTAGAGAGAGATGGAGATTAAGGAGGAGGCAAATTTACAAAATTTTTCATCTGGGTTTTACTCATTGCTACATTTAGGACTTTCCTCTGTTTCTAGAAAAAAATCCCAAAGAGGGTTTTCCTCATTGTAGCATTTTCAAATCTGGCCCACTCTATTTATTCTCTCATTTTAGGATTTCTATAATCCCACTCACTCTGTTCTTCTAAGTTCTTCACACATCTGCTATTACATTGTTCCCAACAAAAATTTACAAAATTCTTCATCTGGGTTTTGCTCATTGTACCATTTTCTACATCT